TACTTGGCAGTCTTTTGATAGGTCTCCTCAGCCCAGCTGGAAGAGCACACATCCAGCTGGGCCCCAGGAACGGGCGGTGATGATTGCTGGTGAGTGCCAGAGGCCGGTGCTTGCCTGCAGAGCTGGCAATCCTGCAAGTCTCCTTCCCTGACCTGTTGGCAATTAGAAGCAGCAGAGTATCATCTGCAGCCAGCTGGGAGAGCCAGGCCTCAAGAGTTGTCATTTAACACCAAGACAGAGAGCCGATGGATAGAGGCAGGACAAAGGAGAGTGCTAGCAAATTCCTTAATTGATGAACGATTGCCGATATCACGTAAACCAGGAACCCTCCAGTTTCTACACGTTTGCTGACAACTCCATACTCATCCAGCTCCTGCTCAGTCTTGGCTGTTCTCCCACCTACTCCACCCATAGCTGACAAGTTTTGTGCAGCTTTATAACCTAATCCCACTAATGCATGAGTCAGGGTGTTGCTTATTAAAAAAAAAAAAAGGTGTGTGGTCATACAGACAATTATAGGTACAAGAGAGTGGTAAGGTGGTGCTGAGAACAAGACAGGAATAGTTATAAAGCTATTGGGCTGTGTAAACATGGAGGTAATTGCTCCTTCCCAAACCAAATTAAACATAAATAATCAAATAACTCAGTAGAAGTAATGAAGTCTCAAATTATCAATGACAACTGTGTTTTGCACTTTCCCAGGACCATCCAGTTCTAAGAAGGGCTAACAGCACTTTAAACTGTAACTTACTCAAGTGTTATAAAACTGGAAACCCTTTCTATTTCAGGCAAGTTAATTAACGAATGAGAAAGTAACAGGTTTCTTGTCCGAGTGCCTACCAAAAAAGCCAACTGTAACCCAGAACATTTACTGTTAAAATTATGAGCCCATGAAAATCCGAGTTTATAAGAACAAAGTTGTTTACAGACTTGAAATAACAGCATCCATCATTTTAATGCTGTAACTCCACATTAAGACAGTGCAGATGGGCATAATTTTCCATTCTTAATATGAGACACAACACCATGTGTCTTTAATATAAATGCAACATATACATACATTCAGCTAGACCGTTGGTTTATTCTTACATTTCATATTCAAACCCAAGTCATTATCAAAGAAAAAGTGAGTGAATACAAATACATTAAAGATGATCCAAAAAATCGGTCATTTAACATAATGTAACCTCTTATTTGTAGGATCTAAAAAGAATGAAAAGTTTTCTCTATTAATGGTTTCAGTTAATCCTGTATCCAAACATTTTCCCCAATAAACATCAGATTATTTTTATGTTGGCTATAAAGCTGTCGCTCCTCAATAAACAGATATGCTCCTGGTGGGTTTACCTCTGCTGTCAAAGATCTGTCAATTCACGTATCATCTCATAAGCGAAACCAGAGAAGCTGGGACGCACGGCTCCTAGTGAACCCAGCCAAGCAGAGGTTGCTCACCACCTGAGAGGATTCGCACCGCTGCTGCCCCCGTGCAATTGGCAGTGACGGGATGCTCCCAACACAAGTTCGCAACAGCCCTGAAGTGAATACTCTTGCCTCCCTTTAATAGAAAGCAAGTTATGTGACCTTTAATGCTCTGCTTGACTGAGCCTTCCTTTAGCGAGTCTCAATTAAATTTTATGTTTTGTGGCTCCCATTTTCTTGTAAGACAAGAAAAGAGTTCAAGGGATGGATCCTTCTTTGAGGAATTTAATTCCCTGTGGAGAAAATTTATTTCCATCTGAAGAGCTTCTCAAAGTTTGGGGGAAGGGAGCTTTTGTAGGGCTTTTTTTTCTGTGTTGGTTTTGGTTAAGAAATTTCTAGTATTTTATGAAGATAATGGAGTATTCAGATTCTTTGAAAAGGACAGTGTTCTATGAGTGGTTAGACTGGAAATATTTCCTCTGTCCTTTTCATTATAATGAGGAGAAAATCAGAGGATGGTTAAAGAAATCCTTGCCATTATTTCTGATGAAGAAGTTTTCTATGAAATCATCAGATCGCTACTGTGATACTGCCGTAACACAATACAGGTTAATTTTCAGTAAGTGGCATTGCAGCAAATGAAACATTTGCATATGTATTCCTAATAAATATGTACTTCCTAGGCTGATTCTGCATACTCAACCTCAACATAACAAGGTCAAAAAATTAAGGCAATTAGGAAGTGTCTTGTCTGAACCGGGCTTTGACATTCTGGCTCGCCGTAGTTGCTGCTATTGAAAATAGAAGTACAAATGAGCATAAGCACTATTCCCAAATGTAAACATTTTCAGGAACAGGCCATTAGTAACATTTCTTTTCCCACTATATTCCTTTATTTAATTAGTTTGTTTTGTAGTCAACTTAACATAAAATCACATATGCCAGTAGGGAATTCTGAGCGCTGGAGAGATGCCTAGACTCTTTATAGTCCGTGTACACTGAATTAGGTATTTCAGAAAATCCGTCTAAAAATGCCACACACCAACAGGGGTATTTCTGGGGTATTTTCGTATTGCCACAGATTTCCCAGATTTCCACACCTGAATCTGAATTCCTTATAAATTGTTTTTGTTTGCTTGGTATCCAATTGTAAAGCCTTTTCTTGATGCTCTCTTCTGTGTACTTCTGTGGTCACCCGAGGAGGGGGTTATCAGGATTCAAGGTTTCCACTACCTAAAATACTTCAGAGTCACCTCTCTCACGTCCCTCACAAGTGTCGTAATCACCACGCTTCAGAAAATGGAAAACTTGTGCAGATGGGAATGCAAGACTCATGGAGTCAAACAGGTTTTTCAGGATTAGTTGATTACTTTTTTTATTCTTAGCCAAAATTTAAGATTATATTGTATCTGATATTCTTCAACTCCTTTTTTCTGAGTGTTTCCTACTGAAGACTGTTTAAATGTGACCTTCTGCCTCTGTCTAACTTCCCGGAGAAAAATAGGTATTCATAGAATTTGCTTTTTGTTTAGATCAGTATTAACTGCTTTTGCAATGGGCAAGTAAAGCTCTGTATTAGCTCTAGCCTGACAGAAATGTATTGCAATGCGCTGCTAAATTGTGATTTCAATCTACAATAATTTCATGTTATCATCTTCTTTTCCTGCTTACAGGGTCACGCCTTGACATAAACATAAAAAAAAATTCTGGTTTGGTTCCAGTATTGAGGCACAAGCATTCTACAGAAAGAAACCCCAACCCAACAATCTTCACCTCTCCTTTCTGAAGTTCATTCACAGATGACTACTGTGCTCAGACCCTTCTTTGTTTCTCCACAGTCAAACAGTTTATGCTTGCTAGGCAGCACACTGTCTGAACACCAGGAAAAATAACAACGGAATCAAATCCATAGGATAAGTCATAGCTATGTCTCTGAGAAGCATCTGGAAAGCACAACATGTAAAACAATTGAAACACAGGGTATTTGTTTCCATCTCCCTCCTCCCCCAAATAGTAAGGGAATGGTATTTTGAATGGTACACTCAAATATCCAGTTACACAATATAATCATATAGGTAATAAAATAAGACCCTAAAACTTGGAAGCTGTCTCTTGGTTTAGACTTATTCTCCAGATATGTCTACCCATTCTTAATTTTACATCTTGTGACTAGTTCAACAAAACAAAAATACCAGTGAGTCTGGATGAGATAAATAGAGTTTTCATGCTCACTGACTTAAATATTGAAACTAGTTCTGTATTTAGAAATAGATTGACACGATTGTAAATACTAAGATTCTCCTATTGAGAAAACATAGTTCTCTTTTGAGAAGCAATAAAAATTAACATATACTCAGCTTAGAAAACCCTATCAGCCACAAATTACCATTTTTGTGAAATCTTTTTAGCTTTTAAGCTTTTTAATGCCTTTTAGTGATAATAGACAGCATTAATCTTTCATCAAAAATGAATTTACCACAGATAAGGGCAAATGTGACAACTTCCTCTCTCACCACCTTAATGAAACATCTCTACATCTCCCTACTTTAGCAATTCAAACCATCTATTTTTATATGTATGCACTTACATAGCGTAGCTTGCCTAAACCTCACTGCAAGAAATAAAAATGGTCTAATTCTTCATTTTCACTGCTCGTCTCACCTCTGTTTTTCCAGTACTGCTTGTGGACACCAAGTCTGTGCCCCGCTGCACCTATGCTGCCTCCATACAGGGCATCTATGCCGCTATGTATAAGAACAGTTCCATTTTGATGAACATATGGATTCAAAAATGGGTTGCTATTGTGTTTACAAAGTTCTTATGAAAAGCCTGCCAGCTACTGAAAACTGGGATTTACTAATTAGTTACCTTGATTAAAGGCTAGTTCCCGAAGAGCTCCTGTGGATAACAGGCTTAACTTTAAGCATCTGATCAGTCCCATTACATTCACTGGCTTTAACTGGACTGCTCATAAAATTAAGCGTGTATTTAAATGCCTTTCTGGATCAGAGCCCAAATCACTTAGAGGAACTCAGGCTCGGAGCAGTGGTACCTTCTGAAGCCAGTATGATTCAGGTGACTAATGACCATAAATCCTTTTCCATATTCTGTCAAACTGAAAAGCTGCAGAATTTTACTCAGACGCGTCCTGGAAACGTTGTCTACCACAGCTGACTGGGAATGCCAGTTCATCAGAGCTTGGAAACAAGTACTTCACTGAACTGGTAATGGCTCAGGCTGAGCTAGTTCAGAAAGCCAGGACAAGAAGATGTCAGAGCCTAGATACTGCACTACACTGATGTGGCCATCCTGCTCCCAGAACGGAAGCAGAGTTTGCTCCAGTGTCTCTACGCAGCTGTGCATTCTGGTCTTTAAACATAACCTAATAGCAAAATTTGGTATTGTGAGTGTAAGTAATCCTAAGACTTCTCAAATTGTGCTCGTTATGTAAGACTAAAAGTTTGCCAAATTCTGGCAATTGCAAAAAAGGGTGGAATATAAAGACGATCTAATGTCTGGAAAAAATGGGTGATTAAAAAAGGTCACATAGAATTGACAATTTTAAAAACATATACTCTTACCCTTCTCGCTGGAAAATAGTCCTAAAACAGTCCCCCAGGCTCTTGTAACCGGTCGGATCAGTTTTCCCTCTTTGAATTTGGAACCTAAAAAAAATACAATTTACATCACAGCATGAGAAGTTAGGGATTTTAAGTCACTTTTAACTTTCCAATTATTATATAAAAGGAGTTTTAAAGGTTTTTTTACGTATCTGATTCATTATTATATACTGTTCCTGATATACTTATTAACACTGTTTTCATAGAAGCTGTTAAACTGAGGAAAAATAGAGCTTTAGTAGTAACTTTTTTTGTAGTTTATGGAACTCACAGCATAGCTATCACCTTTGACATTTACACCTCTTTCTAGTTGTTTGAAAAATAAGCTGTTAACCCTGTGCCTGATCCAAAGCCCATTGAAACTAATGGCAGTCTTTGAGTCAAACCCTGTTTTTGAAAATCTGAAATGGAACACTATCACGGGTTTCACTATGAAATGAATCCACTGTGCAGTTTCCTTCTTTTTGTATCTGACACAACTACAATAAAAATCAAGCAGAGACATGACCAGAAATTAGAGCACCATTAATTTTTCATAGTTTAATAATAAGATGAACAATAAAAGCAAGCAACGAATTATTTTAATTAGAACCTTGCTTTCCCTATTCACACTTTGACAACAATAAAGATTTCAACAGGAAACTTGTGGCCTTGAAAGGAAAATCAAGATTATGATTTAAGATTGTAAACATCTTATTATTTATGATTTATGGATAGCAACAGTAAGTTTAACAAACTATAATATTTTACTAAGTATCTCAGTTAGGTTACCCTATGTCTTGCAGTTTTAAAACTGCAGCCAACACATTCAACTAAATAGGATGGAGAAATTTGGAATACATTTTTAGCAATAACATTTTCTTTTTAAACTGCTAATTACTATATAACACTCAAAAAAATAGAATACTGATGTTAGCAATTCAAGTCTACAGTAGCCCCATATCAGGCAATCACTAAGTTGGTGTTATCACTAAGTACAATAATAATTCTACACAACAAACAGCGTTCAAGAGTTTCAAGGAATAACTGACGTTACAGGCAAGTATGTCATATGCCACAGGTATGTTGCTGTTCTGCGAAACACCTATTGTTACTTATTCTAATTAATAGACTGAATCTCATTAATATGTAGCAAATGAAGGTATTTTTAACTCAATATTAAAGAGCAGCGTTCTCCTCTTTCTCAACAGAATTCAGTAGGGTTAACTTGAGGTTCGTATTGTGGCAAAAGGCATTTGTTGTTTTGAACATCAGTATTTCCTAAGCTGTGTTCTGTGCTAACCCATCTAACATTTTATGCACTTTGAGGAAAAAAATTTCCAGTGATGTAATACAATTCTTTGGGTAATTATGAAGGCAAGCCCACACCTTTTTTGAAAACAGTTAGAAGGAAACACTGAGCCCCCTCCATAGTCCTAATAAAAGTATTTCAGGCACATCTGGGATCTCTATCTGGGGTAACCTCTTTTATTAGCCTGAGAACTTGCTGCCAAGTTGGCAGAGAGGAGAATGCTATTCAATAGGCTTACACTCAAATAAGAGCTGATGCATAACATTTTGTCTGAAAAGAACCCTTGGGAAGGCTAATAGTTGAAAATGCCTCAATGCCATCACACAAAGTCCAACAGTAATATCAGCTACAGAAGCTTTTACATTGTGGCAATCAAGCAATCAAAATCATAACAGAAAGTAGATTCTATGCACATTTGAATATATTTAAGACTTGACTTTTTATACGTCTCAGTTCACAACCAAAAATGGCTTGCTTTTGTTTAAAGAAATTGTGCAAAAACTCATCAGTAAGTAACTTTTCCCAAGTATTTAAAAAATAAAGCTTTCTTAATGAAAACTCTTTTCCTCAAGTTTCAAGATTTGGCCTGCTTGTAAACTCAGAACAAAGCACCACTGTTTCTAAAACATCCTCCGAACAATGCGCCTTCCCTCTCTTTCACCCTGCAAATGCTCAAGCACGTCCTACCAGCACGTGTGTAAGGTTCCCCACTAAGTGGCGCATGCACAACCATTTGTAGAACTGGGGCTTTAAGCCCAGGCTCACCATGGATCTCAACAACACAATGAACATACGTTATATAATTTTCTTTTACAGTTACACAGTGTCGACTTCTCAACAAAATTTAAATGATTTAATAAAAACACGCCTTTGATAGCAATAATGAAAATCATAGCAGAAGAAATGCAATAATACCATATGTAATTTGCGTGTGTCAGATGAATGACAACTTCTCGCTAAAGAAGTTAAATCAAAGGAGATTTACGTTTATTTCAGTTTCTTGTTTTAATGTAGATAAGACCTTAGTATTAAATGAGTCCGTTTGTAACACTGAGTCACACAAATAACATATTCCTTCCTTTAGGGTTTTTGGATCCATTCCTTCCCTAGTAAATCTTTTTTATAGCTTTAACAGCGATCCTAAAATACATACCAATTATATGCTTCAACCTAGATCTGCGAATTGGGTTCTTTGATTCAGAATTGCTTGCCTCAATAAAATCATGTGTAACTTTTTAATGAACTAGCTAATTGATCACCAGCACTTGTTATAAGAAGCTCAGGGAAGAGCTAAAAAAATGTTTGTTTGTTTTTCTGGAGGCGGTGGCAGCAGCAGCCGCCTGTACTAGTAATCTTAATAATATAGAAGAGTAAAAGCATTCACTTCAAAAAAAAACCTGGCCTGGTTTTAATGATTGTTTAGAGTAATGAACACAACTGGGGGATACATAATGGCTTTCTCTGCTTTCCTTTCTAAAAGCATTATAAAACCACTGAATTTCATGCATTTTTGAAAGCTGGATGCCTGCCTTATATGTTATTAGCTTTGCTAGAACAAAAAAGATAAATTCGCCTATAAATATAATCGAAGCATTAACTTCTCATCTAATTTATTATTTTCAAGTCTGAAAAGAAGAATGCGCAGGCAGTGTTCACAGATGTGCCGAACAGACATGTAGATAGTGAGGCTTTTCCAGGATGGGGATGAACGACCTGCTACTTTCTACTAGCATACAACAAGCGTCAGAAGTCACTGGACACACCATCATGGAATGTGTTTACCAGGAGCTTTATCACTCTAAAAATGATCATCAGGCTAACTTGCCTCTCCTCTCATTTTGATGCTTCTTGGCTTTCTGGCCAAAATGCTGTGGTATTGAGCACTCCTACCCCAGGACTGCTCACAGAGCCATGGGAGGCACTTTGGCCCCCAGGGTTACCTCTTCCTACCCAGGACCTCCCCTGTGCCCCTGGCATCTACTGCCTGCTCTCTTGGCTCCTCCTCGCAGCTCCCACCTCCAGTTCCCATGCCATGGGGGACCTCACAATCCCCTGTTTGGCTCATAGCAGCAGCCCACCGGGCTCGGCCTTTTATGCCCCCTTTGACTGAACACTACCTTTGCAGTTGCTTTGTTTGATACAAAAGTGTCCTGATATTGTTTAAGAAGAGAACATCAGTTCCTTTCCTGTTCACCCCAGAAGACACAAGGGTGGGATCTCAAAAAGTAGAAATCCTGTAAAGCAATTTGAGGGTTTGGGGTCAGTTCAAAAGGCAGAGCCTTCACTGAAAGCTCTGCATGGTCTAAACCCATGAAAATTTTTTAACTTATCTATGCTAATCAGCACTACAACAACTACCTGTGAAAAGAATAAATCTAAATTATTCTTATTTTCATAGCATGAGAGAGAGCATTTTTTATGGTTATAACAATCCTTAATCAATAACTCTCAACAGGGTCAGCCTGAAATCCCACAATGCAGAAGGTACTTGAGTCCTTTCATCAGTTCTCCGAACCACTTACCATTTAACAAGTAATATGTCATATTGTGGAGTAATGACTCTACATAAACACATGTATCCATTTCCAATGCCTAACTTGCAGGCTTTGTTGGTTTTATAATAGCCTGTATTTTAGTCCTAGTATTATAAAATCCTCAGTCCACTGGATGCTTTCCTGCCCCCTTCCTATTGCAGAAGTCCTCTAAGTAGTCTTTTCTAACACAATAACTATAGGAGAACAAGCAGATGTGTGTGTTTTCTGAAAAAAAAGAAAGGAAATATTTTTTGTCTCTCCCTCTATCAGTTGCTAAATTTTTTGTTCATGCTTGCTGAACATCTCATCAAAGTTGTCTTGAGGATGTCTGCCACTACTGTATCCAGGTATTAAATGTTTAAAACCTGTTTACCATCTAGGTCTGTTACCTAGCAATCCTCCCCCTTTTATTTACTGATCTGGGCTGGAGGAAGATTTCAAATTCATACTGAAATTGTTTTAATCATCTTAAAGTCTAAAAGGAAGAAACCAGTATTTTCATACCTAAACTTAAGTAGATAGCGAGCAGTTAAATCCCAGCTACGTAGGACAACTGCAATGTGATCTGGAGCAGACTAGACTCACCAAATTTTTGCCACTGGGTTTACAAAGACTATACCCTCACGCGTAAATTCCAGAATTTCTTGCTGCTTTTATACAGTGCTGCGGACTAGTTCTTCAACCACGAGGTTCAGAGGGAAAGAAAAACACTGACTCAGAGAACCAGGCTTATACCATGTTGCAGTGCTTGCCAACAAGTGGCAGTCTTAGCTGTATTTTCCTTCTCTTCACGTCTTACTAGGATTTTATCATATGTTCTCTCTATTTTGAATAAAGCTCCTAACGTATCCCTTCATGGTTGGGACTCATGCAGTACCAAAGCAAATAATCTCAGGTACTGAGGTGTTTAGATGCTATAAAGAAAAGGAGAGAGCTACATGGCATAACAACAAAACAAATTAAATTATCTGTGCAATGTTAAATTGAAAACAATGTTTAAATAAATGTACAGCCTTTGGACAACTGAAACCAACATTTATAGCTTTTTTGCACTTTCAGTAATTCCCATGCTTCCAGAGACTCCTAGCTGTAGTTACCCCTACCAGCATAGGTTGATAAAAATGTATAGTCTGAAGCTTTATATAAATATACATTATTTAACAGTTCACATGCTTATAATAAAAAATAACTGCATTATAATTTAAAAAGATTTTGATTTG